GCAGCATATAATGAATTTTGAAAGACTAGAATCCTCAGTCATTGTCACAACCAACATAAATAAAGGGAAGTCATGTAAATGTAAACTCTTCTGTGTTCTCTTTTGAATCATACTGTGCAAGGCTGAATCCTAGCAGCTGGTGTTCTTGTGGGTAATTGGTTCTGGCGTATTAGCCCCAGGAAAACATTTCTATCACTTTATAGCCATATCTTGGGCAGAAGCCAGAGAAAATATTTAATTCTTTGTGTCATACCTTTTCTGCCTAACTTTTATACATTTTGCCCTTTAACAACTAAGTCTCTATCAATTATAAAAATCTTAAAAAACTGTACAGTACACTTTTCCTTTCAAAATATGCTAACATGTAACAAGAAAGACTGACATTTTCAGATGTCGTTTAACTAAATTAATTTTAATTAAATTTTAAGACTTGGTAATTTTTAAAACTGCTCATTAATCACTGAGGCCAAAAACTTAGATCTAATAACTGAGACTCACCAGGGCTTACTGACAGATATCATGAATAATAAAAGTAGCTTGACAGATTTTTTTTTATAAAAACTGAAGTATTAATAGAGATGTCTCTTATTCAGAGTACATAGCTCGTCACCTGCTTCCTATGATACTAACATAAACACAATTAGCAACATTTATATTCACAGCTACATAGTATAAGCACTGTTCTGTTTTCTGTTTTGAGACAACTATCAACGTTAAAAAACAAAAACAAAAAAACACAGATGAGGTTTACTTCCACTGGTTTACAACTCTCTCCCCCAGTAAAGTATAAGGTCTTTGGAAGCAAGGACTATACCTTGTTCATTTTGGTAACCCCAATTTTACCAACAGTGCCTAAATAGTCGATAATCATCAAATGTTGCTTATTCTTTGTTTCTTCCTAAAACTTGGCCTCAACCTGCAATCCTCGGAAAGGCAAGAATTTTGTCCTGTGATCACCAGTGTCACGTCCCTAAGATGCAGCTACCTCCAAGTCCTCTCCTTTCCTCGAGGTTCAAGTCCCAAGTGATTCATAAAACCTTCTCTGATTTCCCCAGCCCAAAGCTAACTCCCTTTTCTAAAATTATAAAGACTGTACTGTCTAACCACATATTTGACATGGATATTACTGTCTTGGACTATTTATTACCTATTCATCTAAAATTCAGATCTAGATATATCTTGTTCCCTCAACTAAATTAATTTCAAGGATAGAATTATGGCTGATACTTGTGTCCAAATACCTACCAAAGTGTTTTGCACTCAATAATTGGTCCCTGATAAAAATAAAGACAAAGATGATAAAGACAGTATGAAGCCAGTTTTGCATATTTCTCTATCAGGTATTCATTCAAAGGCATGGCAATGCCTTTGACATTTTCTGGTCAAAATAATTAAGGAATGGGTAGCTGTCACAGCCAAAACTAACAAAATGATACCATTATGAACAAACAGTATTTTATTATCTCCCAGCATTTTCAGTGGGACTGTGTATACATGTATATGTATAAAACCAACCCACTGTAATAAAAATATTACCAAGAAGTATGTGAAAAGGTAGGATTAGACCCCCTAAAAAATGATTATTTAATACTATGAGCAATTAAAATTGTATGGCATAGTAACAAAAGATGTCACAAAACAATATGCCTCCAATTTTTTAATGGGTATATAATGGGTAATGTGAATGTGCATCTATTTGTGTGCATTTATGTATGTACACTGGAGGAAAGGGAAGGGAATACAAAAAATGAAAATGTTAAGTAATTACTACACAGTAAAATTACAGATGATTTTCACTTTCTTCTTCAGGCTTTTCTGTACTTTCCAAATCAGAAACACAAACCTAAATACTTTTCTTAAAACCTCCCAAAATTTAGAATTTTCATTGTTGATGTTAAAATAAGACAACAATCTCAGCTTAGTGTAGTGAGCGATGTAACAGAGTTATAGAATAAAATTATTTCTTAAGGCTATTTTCAGTCTCTGAAAATATTTAAAGTCTTATCTATTCTGCACTAATCACCATCTTACTATAGCAATAGTTACACAGCAATAGTAAAAATAAAAGGCTCTATTTAGAGAAAGGGAAGTATGAAGATACTAAGATTATCATTAGTATCCAGAACAGATCATGTACAAAATTTACTTTCCTTTGGACATAGTAAAGTCCATGTGTAAAGCCTTCGATCTCATTAAGTTTTTAAATTATAGACCCTTTAAAACCGGCTGACAAAAGATAAAATGCCAATTCATATACTACATTTTCTGAAAAACTTTACTAATACTGAAATGTATTAATCTGGACATAAAAAATACAAATCTACTTAGATATGTTATCACTCCCCTAACACACACAAGAAATTTTCCATTTTGAAAGAACACAATTCAAAGGTTTACTCTACAATTGAAATACTATCAAAACAACATAGTACAGTGACTCTGGAAAACATTTTAATAGTTCCTTTAAAAACTAAACATTCATCTGCCATACCACCTGGCAAGTGCACTCCTGGGCATTTATCCCAGAGAAATAAAAACTCATGTTCACACAAAACCCTGCACATGGATATTTATAGCAGCTTTATTTTTAATAGCCAAAAAACAGAAACAAGCCAGATGCCCTTCAATGGGTGAACAGTTAAATAAGCTAGTACAGCCATACCATGGAATATTACTTAGCAATAAAAAGGAACAAACTACTGATAAGCCTAACAGCTTGAATGAATCTCCAGAGAATTATGTTGAGTGAAAATAGACAATGACAAATAGTAGGTACTATATAATTCTATTTATATAACATTCTTGAAATGACTGTAGAAATTACAGAATTATAGAAATAAAGAATAAATAGTGGTTGCCAGAGGTTGGGCGATAGAGGTTAGAGTGAGAGAGAAGTGAA